ACAACATGCTACTGAAGAGTAACTGAATCAGAGAAGAAGTATAGAGAGATCAAGGATACTTAGAAACAAATGATAACATTAGTACAACATATCAAAATTTTTGAAACATGGCAAAAGTGGTCATAAGAGGAAAGGTTATATCATTACAGGTCTATCTGCAAAAACAAGAATGAGCTCAAGTAAACAACCTAACTTCATCTTAAAAAACTAGAAAAGGAAGAACAAATGAAGCCTCAAGTCAGCAGAAGTAAAGAAATAATCAAAATTAGAGCAGAAATAAATGAAATTGAAAACAAGCAGTAGAAAAACTAAATGCAACAAAGAGCTGGTTCTTTGAGAAGTTTAATAAAATTGACAAACCCCTAGCTAGACTCACTAAAGAAGAAAGAGAAAGAACACACAAAATCAGTAGTACAACATATCAAAATTTTTGAAACATGGCAAAAGTGGTCATAAGAGGAAAGGTTATATCATTACAGGTCTATCTGCAAAAACAAGAATGAGCTCAAGTAAACAACCTAACTTCATCTTAAAAAACTAGAAAAGGAAGAACAAATGAAGCCTCAAGTCAGCAGAAGTAAAATAATCAAAATTAGAGCAGAAATAAATGAAATTGAAAACAAGCAGTAGAAAAACTAAATGCAACAAAGAGCTGGTTCTTTTGAGAAGTTTAATAAAATTGACAAACCCCTAGCTAGACTCACTAAAGAAGAAAGAGAAAGAACACAAACAAAATCAGGAGTGAAAGAGGGGAAATTAAAACAGATACAGCAGAAATACAAAGGATCATACAAGAATACTATGAAAAAGTATGTAACACCAAATTTAATAACCTAGAAGAAATGGACCAGTACTTAGGAAGATACAACCTTCCTAGACTGAATGAAGAAGATCAGGAAAATCTAAACAGACCGATCAGCAGTATGGAAACTGAAACAATCATCAGGAACCTACCAGAAAGTAAAAATCCAGTAACAAGCATCTTCACCAGTCAATTCTACCAAACATTCAAAGATTTAATACTTCTTCTTCTCAAACTCTTTGAAAAAGTAGAAGAGGAAGCAGTACTTCCTAACTCATTTTTTGAGGCCAGTATTACCCTGATATCAAAACCTGGTAAAGATAACACAAAAAAATCCTAAATAAGATACTAGCAAACTGAATACAGCAACATATTAAAAAGAGTATACACTATGATCACGTGGGCTTCATCCCAGGGGCACAAGGATGGTTCAACATATGCAAATCGATTAATGTGCTACACCACATAAACAAATTAAAAAATAAGAATCATATGATCATATCAATAGGTGCAGAAAAAGCCTTCAACAAGATACAGCATCCATTTATGATCAAAACACTTCACAAAATTGGTATAGAAGGAAAGTGCCTTCATATAAAAAAGACCATCTATGACAAACTCTCAGCCCATGTTATATACTTAATGGTGAAAAATTAAAAACCTTCTCTCAGATCAGGAACAAGGCGAGGATGTCCACTTTCACCACTATTATTCAATATAACATTGGACGTTCTAGAGAGTGTAGTTAGGCAAGAGAAAGATATAAAAGGCCTCCAAATAGGGAACAGAGAAGTCAAACTGTCACTATTTGCGGATGACATGATTCTCTACATAGAAAACCCTAAAGACTCCATAAGAACACTACTAGAAACAATAAGCAAATACAGTAAAGTCTCTGGATACAAAATCAATGTTCAAAAATCTATAGCATTCCTATACTCTAATAAGTGTCAGAAAAAGAAGTGGAAAAAATAATTCCTTTCACAATTGTAACAAAAAGAATAAAATACCTAAGAATAAATTTAACAAAACATGTGAAGGACCTATATAATGAAAACTACAAGGCCCTATTAAAAGAAATCAAAGAAATGGAAAGATAGCCCGTGTTCTTGGATTGGAAGAATCAACATAGTTAAAATGACCATATTACCTAAAGCATTATACAGATTTAATGCAATCCCCATCAAAATCCCACTGGCATTTTTTAAAGAAATAGAACAAAAAGTCATCAGGTTTGTATGGAAGCACAAAAGATCCCAAATTGCCAAAATTATCCTGAGAAAAAAGTATGAGGCTGGAGGCATCACTCTGCGTGACTTCAAATTATACTACAAAGCGACAGTAATCAGAACTTCATGGTATTGGTAGAAAAACAGACACACGGACCAGTGGAACAGAATCGAGAGTCCAGAAGTAAACCTATATTTACATGGGCAAATAATTTTCAACAAAAGAGCCAAAAACATACAGTGGAGAAAGGAAAGCCTCTTTAATAAACGGTGCTGGGAAAACTGGAAAGCCACTGGCAAAAGAATGAAATCAGACTTTTGTCTGTTACCACACACCAAAATTAACTCAAAATGGATTAAGGACCTGAATATAAGACCTGAAACAATAAAATGCATGGAAGAAAACATAGGAATGAAACTCAAGGACTTT